TCCATCTTCCCTTCTTTCTCTCATTCTCCTCCTTCTCTTTCCCCTACTTTCCACCTTAAATGTTCTCTCCTTCTCCTTCACATTCTTCATCTCCTCACAGCTTCTCTTCCTCCTCCTGGGAAGTCGGCCCATACAATCTGTTGTTGTAGGCTCACCTCTCTTTGCCCTGCTTTCCTTTCCAGCAGGGTGTCCTTTTGGGGGTGTGTTGTGTGTGTGTGTGTGTGTAAACACACCAAAGAGGATGGGTGGGTGTGGAGGATCAGGGCGGAAGCCGCATTCCCCAGATCTGGGTGTGGGTGGTCAAGGCAGGTTTCCCCCCTTCTTTGAAGCTCCTCTGGACTCCAGGGGTTGGGCCCAATCCTGCCCTGCGTAAGCATGTTCTCCTCGAAAGACGCACGGACACAACGCCTGTCTCTTTGCGCCTGTCTCTGCGAAGGGAAAGCAGCCCCGCTATGAACGGAGCGAAATGTCCCAGGTGCTTTCCAGGCTCAAAAGCGCAACAGAGCCTTCCGCCTCTGAAAGAAACCATGGTTTGTTGAACAAAAGCACCATTCGCTGGGAAGACGCCACACATCAAATCGCTTTGGACGCAGGGGGAGAAAGCCAGCCTGCCTCCTTGCTAGTCCTCCCCGATTCCGAATCAGCATTTCCCCCAAGCCTTTGGAGGGGTGAAGGCAAAGCCCCCCGGGAGGGCAGGGAGCAGGGAGCTCCCGATCCGAAGCGCCCAGCCCAGATTAGGCAGCTCTTCCAAGGCCTCCCTGTCGCTTTCCCTGGGGCGCGGGAGTCTGGCCAAGAGGCTGCCGGAGGATGATGCAACCAGCCAAGCAATGAACTTCGGCCTCCTGTCCTTGGCCGGAGGGCAGGCGGAGTCCCGGTCAGGGGGGGACGAAGGAGGCACCTTGAGTGGGGCTCCACTGTTCCCGGGTGAAAGCAAGGAATCGAACCCGTGACCTGCTTGTTCCACTGTTGTGTCATCGCCGTTCCCTTCATCTGTTTTTCGTGGAGTTTCCAATCTTCTTTTCCTGACTTTCTTTCCCCACTTAGCCCAACCCACAGGCCGGGGTTGTGTTGAAGAAGGGAGGCGTCTTTTGAACACACACAAATGTTTTTTTTTAATGAAAAGGAGGACCAGGGGGGGACAGGATAGCAGCCTTCCGATATCTCTGGGGCTGCCCCAAAGAAGAAGAGGGGGGCTCAACCTCTTTTCCTAACCACCAGAAGGCAGGAGGAGAAGAAGAAGCAGGTGGAAACTCTTCAGGGAGAGAAGCAACCGGGAACTAAGGAGGAATTTCCTGATAGGGAGAAGAATTAACCAGGGGAACAGCCTGCCACCAGAAGTTGTG